GCTAACAATAATCTGAATCACTTTTTTCTATAGTCACAACTGCTTTAAATGCATTCCAGGAGGCAGATAGGAGTTGTAGAATTTCTTGTTCCAAAGTAGATATATTTTATTCCGTGTCTTGGTGCTAAGTACCTTATATACCATCGGAAATATATATCATGTTCTGATCTAATTAACAAATTCAAGCGAACATAAATTATCTACAAAATAAACTCAACTCCTTTACATGGGATCAGCTCGCCAGACAGTGTGCAGCAAAGCTTTAATTTCACTAAAGACAGATGCAATAACATAAACGGAACTCATAAATTTTTCTGTACCAGATACGCATTTCGACAATCAATGTCTCTTCAATGATGCTCGAGGCTAAAATATTTGAAAATCCAAAGCTTATTAAAAAGATGAAGAGCTATAAACCAAAAAGGACAAAAAGTATAGCCAAAGTCGGGCAAGAAATCAGAGCTTTGCACGAGGGAGATATATTCCTTAATTTAAAATAACTTCCAAAATTTGTAATAGCAAATTTTAATAACACACAATCCGTATTTGCATGCAAGTGACGAAGTACTGGCTACTGGGCTGGTGATACCCTCGAGGAATAGAGTTTATCAGTTACTGTCTGCCTAGGCCGCTGCAGATAACAAAGTGAGGGTGGGAAACTTTGCTACACTTAAGGCGAACCTCGAATGACAATATCTTAAAATCACACAACCGTCAAAAGTATAGCAAGACATATTTGAATTGACCTTATTCAAATATCATGGTCAGTTCTAACTCTAACTCAACCAATGAAACACATTTTACCTATTATATACATTTAACACGTGTATTAATTATAAACAAATAAAGTGGTAATGTTCACATACCGGTGTACATATATTTAACAAATAGATATAGTTTAACATGTTTTGAAAATCAGTTTGTGTGGTTTTTACCATAAAAGAAGAGACAGCTTCCACTAAATTCTTTTCACGCCAGATCCATTATTGAATAGTCTGTCAATCTGCACACAAATTCACGGTGTAACAGCTTAATGTATGCACTTTGACGGCCTAACAAGAATATGGCGTATTTCTGATCATGTACCACATTTTAAAAGATAAAAAAAATAGCTCAAAACTGCAGTTTTGGTAGATGTGGGCAACGTTTACATATTTATCTAACACAATATTGACTGTTGTATCCCAATTTTTGACATTTTTACCAATTATGTCTGTGTGTTTGGCTCACACATTGTAAATATAATGGAATTCTATGCGACTGACAAGTGACAGGTTAAGCTAGCAAGCTATGTTATAAAAACCAGGATAAAAGATCAATATTTAAAGCTGGTTTGTACCTATACAGAATTGTGAGAAACTCACTGCATTGTATGTACAGAAATATAAAATTAAATTTTTGCCTTGAAGATTACGTAGATATAATTATAACTCAATTTTTTTCCCACAAAGCTACGTAGCGGTACTATGAAGTTAAATGTTGAAGTTGGGCGGTATACAAATATACCAAGAGAAACAGATTATGTTCTTGATGTAAAATGAAAAGTGTTGAAGATGAGTAACATTTTACTTCAGTGTGTCCCGTGTATAGATTTGTAAGGCTGCAGTTTTTTTTTGTTCGTGACCAAATATGACAAAACGTATGTATTTGTATCAAACAAAATCTAGATCATTAGTTGGAAAATTGTGTAATTATTTGAAATCTGCTTGGCAGATTAGATCACATCTAATTAGTTGATTTTTGTTCATTGAATTATCTTAGAATATTGTTCTCTGCTGTTTATTGTGTGTTTATTGTGTTGCTATAGCATGTAAGTACTGCTTTGCAAATAAAGAATCCATATTTATAAAATCCGGTTTAATCCAAATTTTTTTACATAAAAAAAGCCAGTACCAAGTCAAGAATATGACAATTGTTTTCCATTCGTTTGACGTGTGTGAACTTTTGATTTTGCCATTTGACAAGGTACTTTCCGTTTTAAATTTTCATTGGAGTTCGGTTAATTTTTTAATGTTAACGACGTCTTTACCTCCATGCTTTGTATGTTTGATGTGTACGGATTGATATTTTAGTCTTAGATACATGATTTTTTTATTAGTTGTTATTTGCTTTGAACTAGCTGTCAGTAACTGCGAGTACTCTCAGATCTGTACTTAGTGTCTTTTTTGTTGTTAGGGATGAAGGATGGATATATACCCTGCCATGTCCTGTCTGTGTTTTTGTTTAATGTTATTCTTTGTGTCGATCTGATGAGTTAAGCTCTTTTCAACTGATTTTTATAGTTTGTTCTTATGTTGTGCTGTTACAACACTGTACAAGGTTAGGGGAGGGTTGAGCCCTCACAAACATGCTTAATCCAGCCACATTTTTTATGTGCCTGTCCCAAGTCAGGAGCCTGTAGTTCATTGGTTGTCGTTGGATCACGTCTGTCATATTTGTTTTTCGGAAATTGTATTGTTATAAATTAGGCCGTTAGTTTTCTCAACTGAATTGTTTCATATTTTTCATGTCGAGGCCTTTTATAGCCGACTATACTGTATGGGTTTTTTCTCATTGTTAAAGTTCGTACGGTTGCCTATTATTGCTTACATCCACTTTATTTGAACCTTTGGTGGATAGTTGTCTCATTGGCAATCATACCACATCTCCTTACTTTTATATTTTTATTGACAAAAAGAAAATTCGTAACCAAATCAAAATTTCCAATGGACGGAACGCTATGTTTTGTCTTTTTATTAAAATCAATATTTGTTTGTTAAGGATATTCTTACATATTAAATGTAAAGGTCGTCAACATCAACGTAAATAGACTAATGATATTTTCGAATTTAATGGAGATGTGTATTGTAAAATTTTTAATGTAAAATTGAGGATCGAAACAGAGCGTGTGTCATTGAGACAGCAACCCGACCAAAGAGCAGAAAACAGCCAAAGGCTACCAATTAGTCTTCAACATAGCGAGAAAATCCCGCACCCTGAGGCGGGCTTTAGCTGGCCCCTAAACGATAATGTATATTAGTTCAGCAAAAATGGACGTCGCACTAAACTTCAAAACATATTAATGAACCAAAATTTAAAAAAAACATACATAACTCACAAAGACCAGAGGTTCCTGACTTGGGACAGGCGCAAAAATGCGCCGGGGTTAAACATGTTTTGTGATATCTGAACGCCCCCTCTAGACCACTAGCCAATGTGGAATAAATAAACAAATGTGTATTTTTAAGACGCTTCAGTATTAAAATTCAAGTATAAGGAATAAATTACCTTAGCAGTTTTTGGCACCACCTTTCGGAATTTTAGGTCCTCAATGCTCCTCAACTTCGAACTTTATTTTGCCTTTCTAACTTGTTTGATTCGAGCGCCACTGATGAGTCTTTTGTAGACGAAAAGCGAGTCTGGGGTATACAATTTTAATAATGGTATCTAAGACGAGTTTATTTGACCCAACGAGTGATATCTATTCGGAAAATTGGCATTATCTTCAGAATTAAAACGCATAATATCAAATGCATTTTCCAACAAAATATAACAAACTTTTTAATGCAAGGTATGCTATGAATTTAGATTTAATTCATAGGCACCACGTTCACATAACACAACCTTTGCCATGTTTTGGATCTGTACAATATCATTCGACAAAAGTAAACGTATCACTTACTGTTCCATATCTTACATTGTAGGTAAAACGAAAATTTTAAATACAATTAATTTGTATTCATATTGTCAAAACAACACTTGTAAAAACTCATCACAGCAAACATACATATAATTTAGTACGTCAGACGAGCATTTCTTCTACATGAGACTCAACAGTTGCGTTTACAAAAAAGTTGGAATGCCAAATCAAACACAAAGCTGAAGAGCATTGCTAGCAAAAATAAATCCGAAAACAACCCCGTTGTAGACAAACCTTTGAGTTTCGAACAATTAATAAAGACAGTCAATTTATAGAAAATGAACCGTAACAGTCATTAACAGTAGTTTAAAGTTTTAATCTAAAAAAAAAAACACTAGAAGAATGGATTCCTCTACATGTAATTCAGAAACAAACATTATGAATAATCAAAAGCTCAGAACTGTATTTGTCATTCGGCTTTCGGGGATTAAAAAAATCGGAGTTTTGAAATTTAATATCATTAAACGATTGTTTGAAGGAAAAAAACGAAGTAGTATACATAACAGAATTTACCATAAGAACAAGCATGTCATAACTGAAAAATGAAAAAAGAATACTCATAAGTAACAGATATGCTTTCTACTGCCTCCATATGGTATGAAAAAAAAACCGAGTCAACAAAAGATTGATATGGTGTATCAATTCATACAACACACTATTTACAAACACTGGATAAACCAAACAAAAGGAAATTTGTTTGATGTTCTTCATCTTTTAGCAACAGTAAGATTTCTCATTCTTTTAACTTGACTATTTTTTTTCAATGTCTGTGTTGTTTATAACAGTAACAGTCTCTTCTATCATTCAGGCTTGCCATGCAAAACATGTTTCTATTTCAAAATTTCACATGCGGTAAAATTTCAGTATTAGAAAATTTACATGACATATTGTTTACGAATTATGTGATGTCTTAATGTTAGATAAGAGTCAATCACCAATCCGCTATTAATGTAAATCCTAATTATTTTATCTTATAGGAGTAACAGTGCGGGTATCACATACAGAGCAGAATCTGCGAACCCTCCAAGAGAAAATGATATCACCCCCGGTTTTTTTGTTCAGTTTGTGTTGCTCAGTCTTTCGTTTTCTATGTTGTGTTTTGTCTTTTGGTCGTTTTTTGTTTTTTGTCATGGCGTTGTCAGATTGCCTTCGACATGAGTTTCAATCCCTTTGGAATCTTTCGCCGTTTTTCAAAGTTCTTATGAAACAATTGTGTGGAGATCTGATCATCAAAACACTTGCCAATGACATTGACGATAATATACTGCACATCAAATGCCTTTAAGGTCCTCTATACACCAAATGACTTCTTATATTCGTATTCAAGACTATTTAATAGAAAGACATTATAAGAAACTGTATATATTAAGGATACATAAAGTAAATACATTAACATCACCAACAACCGCACACTCAGAGGCGAGCTTTTGGAAAAACACGGAAGACCTGTGTTTCAATAATAGAATGTTATAAAAAAAAATGTTTTTTATTCTGATTGGTAGATAACGTTTCCAATAAATATTTGATTATAAATTTAGGCGACCTTGGTTTACTGATGTTCAAATCTCGTTAAGCGTAATGATAAACTATGATTAAAAAATGAATAAAATAATGTTCAATGCACTTGAAATGTATACTACAAGATTTTGAGCGGAAAGCCCCTTATCAAATGGCAAAAATCAAAGGCTCATACACATCAAACGAATGGAAAACAACTGTCATATTCCTGACTTTGTACAGGCATTTCCTGATGTAGAAAACAGTGTATTAAACCTGGTTTTATAGCTAGCTAAACCTCTCACTTGAATGACAGTCGCATAGAATTTCATTATATTGACAACATGTGTGAACAAAACAAACAGACATAATAAAAATTTATAAGGTAAAAATGTCATAAATAGGGGTACAACAGTCAACATTGTGTTTTAATCTTAATCACTATAAAAACAAACAAATTTCAACAGGGATAAGTTTATTTTTTTTTGACTGCATTAAGTATAATATGTATAATTAACAATATTACGTTTCTTTTTTTGACGTGTACCAAATTCACAGAACTCAATAGGAATGGTTGTGATGGAAAGCTTGTTCATTTAAAAGAAATATCAACTTAATACAATTCTAGAGGTTTTCATGAAGATAACCGTTCATCTATTTAACGTTTGATGAATACTACATAATTGTCAAACTTGAATTAACACTTTATTCAGTTAGATATAATCATACACAGTAGACAACATATATAATGATGCAGAATATTTATGTGGACGTATGCAATATTGCATTTGAAACCTACTGCTTTATAAGAAGTCACATTTGATAACATCAGGTTAGACAAATAATATTGACAATAGTTGATTTATTAAACTTAAATATTTGATGAAAATAACGATTTATATATCGTTAAATTGATGCTTTGAAGTGACAACACATGTGGGTTCAGGACACTTACATGAACAAGATGAACTCAAACGTTTCATACGATTATTTGTATTTGACACAACGGGCAAATCAGTTTGATATTTAGCCATTTCCGAAGACATGATTCATGGAATAAATGGTCACATGATGTAACCTTTGCTTCTTCCATTTCCTGGAAACAAATCGAACAGACGTCGTTATGTTCAGCAAGTTCATCTGTTGTCGCGTCGACCAAATTATTTGTGAACTGTGTGATCATGTTTTTATGGCTGATGACTCGTTTTAATCGAACTCCATGGATGTATATATTAACATAAAAAATTAATATCAAACGTAACAACTCTAGCCAGCTATAAAAACCAAAGAATAATGTCCACACAGAGTACACAACCGTGCATATTTGAATAAATATTATAAAAATCCCCACACAAATTCGAATATGAAACACAAGGTCATCAAATCCATCCCGGAAATTTTGGCAAATTGCATCGTATTTAAAAAGAATAAAAAGAAATAGCATATAAATAGCGAATATCAGATTTGTAATAAAATTTGACATTGTTAAAAAGATTCCTAAATTGTCCATTGTATATTGATAATACATATAATACATTATTATTGCAGGTCCTAAAATAAATATCAGATGAATACAAATAACTCGTATGCAAGTTAACATATTTCCTTGTATAATTTCTACTTTTGATGTCATTGCTTCTATTATGACTAAACAGTTACCAACAAACATCGCAAAAATCAATAATAACCTGCTGATAACTAGTTGTCCACGCTCATAATGTCCCATGTCCGATATTATTATGTTTATTAAAAAGAAAAGCACGCTAAATATATACGAAGATTGCAGAAAATTTGCAGCTTCAATTTCAAGCATACCTGTGACGGTGAAGTAGCAAAACTTAAGTAATCGTTTTGAGATTGCAAATATTATGGAAGCCAAAGCATTTGCTGATATAATTGTACAGCAACACATACCGAGTGTTGACAGAAGTATGGACTTTTGACCATTAATTCCAAACTCAGATAGATCATCAATGCAGTAATTGTATACTAATGTCACAATAAACATGAACACATAATATATAGGATATATAATGTCTGTTCTGGATTTCAATCTCTGTATATCTATTGTGTCTGAAGAAAAACTAAAATTGTCGAAAATTACCCTATTTCTTTCTGTAAGTAACACAATAAGCATGACAATTGAAATGAAAATAACAACAATGTTATACAACCAGCTTGATTCCTCCCGCAGAATTGATCCAGCCAAAACAAAGCAATACAGATAAACTCCAAAACGACATGGTGTATTAATACTACAGAAATAACATACGCACAAAACAAAGCAAGTCTGTAATAACAGGTAGAAAATATCGAATCTTCCAAATAAATCACTTTCTCTAAGCATCCAAGCACATATAATCTGTGTCGTTGCCAGCATGACTTTGATTAATTTTTGTTGATTAATATATGGCATATTAAACAAACATCCCAGGAAACATAGACCTTTATAATAAAATAATCAGATTTTAATGATAATAAAGTTATATATACCACATAATATACCTTTCAGAATGGATTAAAGCTAAAATGTCATACACTTCATTTGAACTTGATGGTTGTCTCATTGGCAATCATACTAGATCACCTTATTTTTATATTAATACAAATTAGAATTAAAATATCATGGGTTTCTTTTGTATGTCAAAAGACCCAAAATGCTACTAGTCACATGTTCCAACACATGATACATATGCTATTGTACCCTGCAGATAAAACACCAAACAATAGTACTTTCGTGTCTACATCACTTTATATGAACAAGCAGTTCAGGAATTCAGGTAATATCAATTCAGATAGTTACCAAACGTATACGCCAACGACACTCATTAACAACCGAAATTGTGGACAATTAAGGTTTATTTTATGTTCCTTTTAAATTTCAACCAAAGAGGAAGAACTCGATTTTCCTTCGCTCTACTGCATACCTATGTTACTAGAGTGTGCTGACAAGAAATGTGATATGTATTGCTTAATCATGCCAAATGCTTCAGGAACCCACGAACCATTTCCAAATTACTAGCAAACATTCAATCAGCATAGTAAACTTGGCTTATTGTGAAACTACCTAATTTACGTTCGATGTAAATTGGGTGTGGATACTATTAGATTCCGAATATATTAAAAAGTGAAATAATAAAGATAACGAACTCAAAGGAGAATTCAAAACGGCAAAAGCTCAAGCACATCAAACGAATGGAAAAACTGTCATATTCCTGACTTGGTACAGGCATTTTCGTTTGTAGAAAACGGCGGATTAAACCTGGTTTTAAAGCTAGTTAAACCTCTCAACTGTATTATAGTCGCATGTAATTCCATTATATTGACAATAATGTGTGAGCAAAACAAACAGACATATTAGGTTAAAATGTCAAAAAATTGAGTAAAACAGTCAACATTGTGTTATAATCTTAATCATTATCAAAACAAACAACTACTATGAAAGTACTTTTATTCGTGGTGTACGAATTTTCGTGGTTTTCGTGGATGGCTTTATCCACAAATTTAACTGTTCAACGAATATAATAGCTGTTGGCCAATTCCAGACATGGAAATATCCCCATGAAGGTTTGATTACATAGATACGGTCATATAAACCAACGTACATGTACTATGAACTAAATATACATTTTTTTGTACAACTTCAGACCGCATTTTACCCATTTAATCTTTTAAAAATCTAAAATGTACGACTGTTAACATTTTAATTCTCATTAGAAATAATTTTTTATCGATGAAAGTCAGATATTTGGTGATGATATGCGATAATGAAATAATCCTTTTTTCATAATTCTCATACGAAAAAAAAAAAATACTGATTTCATTTTGGGCTTGCCTTTTTATGTCATAATAATTGATTCTAGAAATCAAAATATTATGAATTTGTTATTAATGAAGGACGAACAAGTGGGTGAAAAGGAACACCTTATTTAACAATGCCCCACAAATCATTATAAAACAACATATGATTAATATCATGAATATTCGATTCTGATGTCCTCAAATTCGTCACTCGATTTTTTTTTCCAGAAAACTAAAATCCACGAATTTAAGAACCCACGAACATGTTACTTTTGCTGAAACCACGAAAATTGATACCCACGAATAAAAATACTTTCACAGTATGTCAACAAAGAAAAAATGGATATAGACACTCTATAGACAAAGCACATGAGCATAACTGTAGGCAAGAATACAAAAAATTACCATAGCACAATAACACAATGGCGGGATGTATTAATACCGATCAACGCCAAAATGATAATACTTAAAATGGACTGAACAATAAAGGTTAAAAATATACAAAAACAAATAAAAAGAACAATGTAACTTATATTTACTTTTCAAACCTAGTTTTATAGCTAGCTTAACCTGCCAATTGCATAAAAGTTGTTTATAGTTCCGTTATATTGACAAATTTGGATAAGCAGCCCGAAAATACATAACAGGTTCATATGACAATATTTTGGGTCCAGCAGCCAAAACTGTGTAAACATATATCACAGATATACAACACATAACTGACTAAAACATTCAAACAAACATAAAAAATTAATCTAACAAAGACGTCAACAAAAAAGATGTAGTTGATAGTAAATGTAACAATGGCGTTAACAAAAACAGTTTTTGTCGTTGATAGTACATACCGTATATAGTATACACTTTCTGTATAAAGTAAAAATTAAGTAAATTTAAATACAAGGGTAAACAAAATAACAACTCTGTAAAAACCCTTTGTGTCCGAATCGCACCTCATGACCAACCTGTCCCATGAATGCCGGAGTTGAAAAGTCAAGATCCCGATAGTGGGATGCATAAATACCGAAGGAGGTCAAAGGTATAAAACAAAGAGAAAAATAATAGCACGAAACAAACAAAGGGGAAACTTAAGTATAATGAAAAGATATACACTTTTAGCGCCTATAATCTATAACTCAAGACCATCTTGTATTATTAGGTCTTGGAATTTTTCGATAAACTTGTTTGAACTACTGTTGTCTCTTACCTTCAACCTGTTTGTTTTAGTTTTTTGTTTCAAGAATTGCGATTGAAAACAATAGCAGATGTCACCCGAATTGTTTCCATAGCAATGACAGCCATTTTAAAAATTCTAAAGGCGGAAGACACAGCTACACATGACAGGATATACCTTTATATAGATATACAGAAAGGTTCAATTTTAGATTTTTCACATTTGTGCTGTTTCCTAGGTAACAATAGCCATTTTGAAAATACAAAATTTAAATAACACATCTTCACTTGCCAAAATACATTTTTGTAAGTTTTCATTAAGTTTGCAGCAATTATGTTTTTAACAATTTTGCTATTTCCATAGTAATAGTTACCATTTTAATAACATTTTCGGAGTTCGGTAATTTAGTTATACTTTTGCATTGGATTTTTTAATATTTTGACCCTCAGTATCAATGAAGAAAATTTCTCAAATGCGCATCCGGTGTAGTGAGATTACTACTGTGAATGTTAATGTTATTATTATTAATATACGGTAGGGTAGACTTGACACCTATAATGTTATATTGATGTTGCGATGAACAATCAGTTTAGTGTTATAAATATCAGATTTACGCGTAATAAACATAGAAACGATACAATCATGTCTTACCTAGTGGCCGCAAAACATATGACAGCCATCCTAAGTACTGATAGCTGAATCTCAAAAAGATGTCAAAAAAGGATATACCATAAATGTACATGCCAATATCCCGTAAATTGGTCAAATGCTGCATCTTAAATCTGAATAAACTTGATTGGATTTTCTGAAATGTTCAAAAATAACAAATATACGTAATAAATTACAGTATTATCGGCATAATGTTTGGCCGAGCTTTCAGACAAAAGACTAAATTACATATAAAGAACACAACTTTCTGCAAATCTTTGAAAAGGAATGATAAACTTTGTTTAGATATCGTCTTAAAATCATTAGAGAGACATATTCTACCACTATAACTCGTGTATTACGATATTTCTCCATTCTCAACAGTTAAATTTTATTTATATAAATATATTGAAATTTAACTGTCTCGAGTGTAAAAAATGCTATCTATACTTCCGTCAGTAAAGAAAACCTTCCAAATCCAGAAAAAATAAAAATAAATAAATAATTGATTTAATATAGCATAAAAATTCAAAGGTGCAGTTGTAGTGCAAACGAACATAGCAGACGTGAAAACTCTTATAGAAAGAGTTCGTTCATGAGAAATCTAGAAAGTGATGTTTGTAGACTCAAACTACATGTAGAGTAAGGCTGATTATAGAAATGAAAGGTCATGGTGAAAAGTGACGTCACCTGGGTAAACAAAAAAAAATATGATCAAAATCTAAACTCATGGGCAGCCTAAAATTATATATCTAAAAAAAAAACCAACCTTCCAGGAAAAATTCCATGTTTGCAAAAAGAATTTAGAAATAAGAAAACAATTAAATAAGTCTACAAAAACGTATTACTAACTTTTATAGGGAGATCTATTTAATTTTCTAGGGGTGGGGATGAAGGTGCAGGAGGATACATGAACATATCTTACCCGATACAGGATGTAACTGAATATTCTGTTCCACACAATACAGGATATAGATGTGTACGATATCTAAAACGATTTTCGCGCGGAAATAAATAAGCCTGCCTAAGAAAAAGTGAACAATGAGTATTCCGTCTTCGAAAATTCCTCCTGCCATTGCCCTTCCTCGAAAATGCAATGCGAGTCCCATTCTTTGTAAATATAATTTCCATTACTGGGTTTCAACTATATTCGACTTTTAAACATATGAAAGACCAAATAAAACCATATTAATTAATTGATATGTTAGGACACGAGAACTGATACCTAATTCTTTACGTTTGATCTAAAATAGCGTACACTCTTACAGAGTGTCTAAATTGCACAAGACGTTTAGTTGAAAATCAAACAAAAAACAACAACTTAATTTCAGAAGCGGACTGGAATTTAATATAGCGTTTTAAGTATGACAACAGGAAACACACAATCCGTGTTTAGTTCAATTCCAAACAAAATTTCTTTTTGAAAAATATATCCATACTTCTAAAATTAAAACTTAGTAAGAACTATAATTGTCATGACTGGGTTTTAAATATAAAGTTATTATTTACCAACTGAAAGACAATTAAAATACGATCCGATTTCTTTTGATATAATCGAACCCCTCAAATATCTACTAAAATACAACCTAATTAAACACGTTTCAAGTGAAGTAACATAACGTAAACTTTAAAAAAATTGCCAAAATTGCAGACGACTAGTGCTAAATAATAAATAATAAACATATAGCTTACAATAAGGTATTGGTTTTGCTCATTGTTGAAGACCGTGCCCTATTATAGTTATTTACATCCTCGTCCTTTAATAGTTGTCTAATTGGCATTCACAACACATCACCTTATTTTTCATATCAATTCATTTACGTACCAGAAAAAAAAGTATTTGACTAAATATGATATACCTACCTGGTACAGCTCCATGATTATGTATAGTTTAAATGAAAATAACAGGAAATCCAATAATTATAAAAATAAAAATATTACACATGTCTATTTATAAATATAATTAATATAACACCGTTTGAAAGGTCATTGAAATAAGACAAAAAAAAAAATCTTTTAAATCTGAATGGAACTGTCAGATATCAACTAGACGTCAACCTATTGTTGCATGCTTCGTATAAAATTAAATGTGTTCTGACATAGGTTCAAAAATATCGGAAAACATCATCTTATTTTTAATTTTTTTTTCATAAATTCTAACTTGCATAATTATTTACAATAAACGTAACACCTGCTTACGGGATCAGTTCACGATAAAGTTTGCAGCAAACCTCATTTTATACAATTTTGACCTTTCTAAAAAGGTGTGGACTGCTTCGCTCTATACTAATTTAAGGCAATATATGTGCATGTGGTGTTGATTCAGTATTGGAAATGTGGTATTTTAAGATATTGATTGATATAAAATGGATGTCTTAGACTTGGAATATCAAGTTTTGTATAAATATTAAGATGAACTTTTCTGACATTTTAAACTGGCTGTTCGGTGTTGTGCGTTATACACCCATGCTTTTAAAATTGTTTTCACTTTACTTGTTGAAAATTAAAATATTTACAAATAGACACGACTCTCGAGGTGTGCCTAAATTGGCAGAAGTTACAAAATACAGATAATGCTTTTTTGTAAATATTGTATTGGAACATTGTTTAGCAAACCAAATCGTGCATATTGCAGATTAACAAAGCAAATAAACACGTATCAATAATTGATATTTCAATATTGAATTTCAGTGTGCAATATATGCATAATAAAACGAACATGAATTAATGACAGTTGATCGGAACTGAAATACACATAGTTAATTTTCCGGCATTTGATGTTTTATCCTGAGACGAGAAAAGTCAGCATTTCTTTATCTCATTTAAGCCAGTAGCTGTTGCTGTATTTCAGTCGTACCATAAAGCAACCAATTAGAATCTATATGTTAATAGTAATTATTTCAAGATGGTGTGTATATCGATTGAAACTAATAGCTCCGCACCGTGATGCGAAGCAATTGACAAACACGAAAAGATAAAAATTGTTTAAAAGCTGTCTGTCTGGGCCACTGCATCTAACAATCAAAGAACCTGATCTGCAAATATAAAACAATTAGTCAGTATACATATACACAGTGAAAAAGTATTGAAAGATTAAGTACACCTTCATTAAAATATGGATTAAATTCATAAAAAGGAATATGTGACCATAGATTACTCGCACTGTTTTCAAATTTCAGTTGTAAGTGAACCAGAGTCAGATATAATTAACCCCAATTCAATACTTTTGTCAACCACTCGGTGTGTGTGTTGCTGTTTTATTTATAAGCAAGTGTTTTGTCTGTCTGGTATACTTCACAGTAACGATTAAGTATTTTCGAGTCTGCTGGTAAACATTTTTGACGATTGCATGCATCGAAAGCTCAAAATTCACGATGAGCTATTGTGATAGGTCAAAAATGTTTAACAAGCCAAAAAAGATGTCCTTGTAAAAAATGATATTTTCATTGGCTAGCAAGAACTGGTCTATCATATGATATGGTATAACAGTGTACATGATTTACTGAGATACGGTGAACATTATTTACTGCGGACTATGGGTATAATGAAAATATACATTAGGAACACATTGAATACTTTGAAATTATCTAATAAATTAAATTGATTAAAATACATATGATCCGTGATTTACAAATAAATAGTAATTAATAGTTTCCCTTGAAAAGCTAAATGGTTATACTTGAATGCCTTTTGGTGAAAATGCCGAAAAAAGTCTAAAGATACGGTCAAAGTGATATTATTAACCAATAATTCACAAAAACAAAATAACCGTTTGACACTGAAATAACCGTCTTCCTTTATTTTTAGACGTTTTCCGTATTCTTAGCAATTTCGTGCGACGTTTTAGACCTTTCCTTGTAATTCCTCGCTTACTCTTAGATAAGTTAATTATCCACCTTTAGCTATTTAGAGCTCGTGCAAAACGTGTGTCTAATGTAAAGATAGTATTTTGATATTTCAATAAATCAATACATTTAAAAACATTTAATTGGAAAAAAGTAAAATAACAAAAATACCGAACTCCAAGGAAAATTCAAATCGGAAAGTCCCTTATATAATTGCAAAATCAAAAGCCCAAACACATCAAACGAATGGAAAACAACTGTCATATTCCTGAATTGGTACAGGCATTTCCTAATGTAGAAAATGGTGGATTAAACTTGGTTTTGTAGCTAGCTAAACCTCTCACTTGTATGACAGTCGCATACAATTCCATTATATTGACAACAATGTGTGAACAAAACAAACAGACATAATAGGTAAAAATGTCAAAAATTGGGGTATAGCAGTCAACATTGTGTTATAATCTTAATCACTATAAAAAAAACCAGATATGTTAAAAAAAAGAAAAAAACAAAATGGTATATAGACATAGCACAGAAGCAAAAATGAAAGAGAAAAATACAAAAAATGACCACAGCACGAAGTTTGAAATAGGAAAATACGTAAATTACGGCAGCATTTTAATTTCTATATTTGTTTGCAAAAAAAAAATATTTGTCAACTTTGAAATATTTATCAAGTTAACCTTGAAGATGAATTCTATTGTTGTCACTTGTCAGTAACCTATTCACTTTACATTGATAAATACCGTTATTAGTAGGAGGGGTTGTTTGAGTATAATGTACTATTAAAGCTGATTTATTTATAAAACTGTTAAAAAACTTTATTTACAATGAATTCAGATTTACTCTAATTATATGAAAGGTATCTTCTTTCCTTAACATATGACATTTATATTACATAATTATGACCATCATTTACTTATCTAATAGTATTTTCTTGACTCGCCGAACTAACTAATATTTTTAACTTTATAATCATGATCGGGTTTGTCTTATCCTCTTGAGATAGTTAATTATTATTTTACATTCCTCTTATTCTAATTTGTCTGGATAATTTAATGTTTGTGTAGATAAAAGTTACAACATGGTTTAATGAATTTGAATCTACACCTTGTACACAGGATGTTATATCGCTACTTCACACCTATGAGTCCAGACTTTTGAAAAAACAAATAAAAAGTCCCAATGTGAAATAAAATAAAGATAACTCTTCTTAGATGAAACATTTAATGTCTCGCAAGCAGCAAGAATCATTAGTACACCTTTACAGAGTAGATCCAACTCCATCGATAGGTTACTTTGTCTTTCATTTCATGGTCCATGAACCTGGTTGAATTTTATGCCAACATTTATTTTTCAGATACTATATAACCTAGTTCATAGTAACGAATAAGTTAACTTGTCTTCATATTCACTCTAACAAAACAACCGGCAAATGCCACAATGCTTATGACTAAAATACACAGATAGATGTCATAGGGGTGGATCATTTATTTTTTCAGAATTAAGCCCGTTTATTAAAGGAAAAATGTCACTATGTTAATCCATGTAATGCAAATCTTAATTTGCCTTGACTAAATTGTTTCTTAAAAGTTGTAATGGTGGCATCCATAACCCTCAGACACATTTTATCTTTTTTATAATCTGTCTTAAAAAATAGTTTCCAGCCGTAACATTTGGTGCTTGCGCCAAAAAGTTACTTGATTTCTATTCATGCAAGATGTTTTCGTCATGTATGTTTGTCAAAATTGACATAAATACCCTTGATCCGTTTCGTTTTTTAATTTGTAACGTCATCGCAACGAATATGTCATTTTCAACAGCTGGTAACTAGAATATATTCGGAAGGATTTCACAGTACTCTAGAGAAAGAAATGTCAGTTAAGACATTACATACATTGTTAGTTATAAAGCGATGAGCACCGGAATGTTCCAGAATGGAATAGTTTAAAACACCATAAAAAACTCACAAGATCATAAAAGAGTCTCTCATATGTGAACAATCCCCCTCTCTCATTTTCAATAACAACCAGTACTTCTCATTTTTGAAAGTTTTGTATTTTTACTGTTTTAGAGTAAATGCATGAATACTCACTCTGTATATTATTATTATATACATCAAATAAACTTTTCATTGGTTCATGTCTGTCACATTTGTTTTTCGTAAATTGTTTTCTTATAAATTAGGCCGTTGGTTTTTCTCAATTGAATTGTTTCATACTTTTCCTACATCCACTTCATTTTAACTTTTGTGGATAGTTGTCTCATTGGCAATCATACTACATCTCCTTATTTTTATGTTTTATCTTTTAGTTTGACTTTGTTAACCTAATTAGATATAAGATTCATTTAAAAAAAAATGGTTTACATATGAATTGAGGGCTAGTTTAGTCTTTGAAATATACTTAGCATACTTATTTCAACAACAAATTATATAATTACTTTTACATTATTAAATAAGATTAACTTGTTTAAAGTTAATAGTGAATTATTAATCCTTCATATAGGTTTTGTTAAACTAACTGTTTTCTTCCCCATGTTTAATACCATTTTATCATATAAGGGGACGGAGAATTACCAAAAAGGGCAAACTCTCAGGTCTGTTGAAAATCTCCTGACATGTCAAGCAAGAATATATATGGTTTTGAGGTGAAGATATAAAAATTAATTGTTGGTAATAACAGCCAATATATATTCACGACTTTTAGATCACAATTATTTTGTTTTCTGTTCCATATTTTGTGCGTACAAATACTGTGGATAACTATGGTCATTTTTGTATTATTGGCTTTAATTTTTGCTTATGTACTTTTTCTATAGAGTGACTATATGTCATTTTGTTTTTCTTGTTTGAAATAGTTATTTCTTTTTATAGTGATTAAGATTATAACACAATGTATTGTTGACTGTTGTACCCTAATTTTTGACATTTTAACCTATTATAAAATTGAGAATGGAAATTGGGAATATGTCAAAGAGACAATAATCCGGCCAAAGTGCAGATTATGTCTGGTTGTTTTTGCTCACACATTGTTGTAAATATAATAGAATTCTATTTGACTGTCATACAAGTGAGAAGTTTAGCTATCTATGAAACCAGGTTTAATCCACCGTTTTCTACATAAGGAAATGCCTGCACCAAGTCAGGAATATGATAGTTGTTTTCCATTCGTTTGATGTATTTGAGTTTTTAATTTTGCCATTTGATAAGGTACTTTTCAATTCGAATTTTCCTTGGAGTTCGGTATTTTTGTTCATTACTTTTCATTATAAATCGTGGGATACTTATCTTCGTGGATTTCGTCGGTATAGGTTAACCACGAATTTTAATGTTCAATGAAGTTCACATTCTGTAAAGGCCTGTATGCATACTTGAAATAACCACAAAATCAAATAACCTCAAAAATACAATGTTTCCTCAATTTACGAAAATTGGTATCCACGAATATAAATGTATCCACAGTAGTCATGTTTCCACGCTTGCTCATATTTTGTGATTATAATACAAATTCATTGGAGGGGCGGTAGGAGTGGTTGTCATCCCTATTTCTCGAAAAAAATAAATCATTCTTTCCTGGATCCCAAGATATTAACCATTAATTCACTAGTCCTGACAGGTGTAAATCCCGAATTCCCGCGAAAATAAAGGCCTAATCCCGAATTCCCGGAAAAAAATGTCCAATTTCAACGTCCCGGAAAAGGTTCTTCCGTCCCTCTCATTGATAAGCACACTATTTGAATAATATGATGACTGAGAATATATTAATGTCAATTAGTTGTAGTCATATGAAGAAAACAGCATACAGAAACTCCGCAGAGACAAAAAAATAACTTTGAAAATTTCAATTTCACTTTCATTTACATCTATGGTGTCCTGTCACTCAGTAACTTACATTTCAGTGAATGCTTGCATCTCATATATTCAAGCGATTAGAAATTATGGATACTACCGTAACTAACAGGTCTGCTTCATATCTTGATCTTTTCTTCTATATTAACACAGACAGACGGCAAACTACCATCTATGACCAATGCGATGATTTCAACTTTCTAATCAACAACTTTCAATATCATTTAAACCTTTCAACCAAAGTGAAACATGTAAGTGTCAGTGTTCTTTTATTTTATTTTTTTTTTATTAAAATGGTTTGTTTTACGTCCAAATCGGGCAAAAATTACAAACACCGCTTTCACAAATTAAATTAATTAGATGGAAAGAATGAGTAGTTAATGTATGATTTAAATCAACAAACCTTTTAACTAAGCATTACTTCAATTAAGTGGCAACTTTTGACATATATTTTGTGTCAACATCATGTGAACAGTGATTAAATACCTGTATAAAGGGAAGTAAATCGATCAACCCAAAACATAGTATATTTGAAGTGTATTGGAATCTTAAGGATAAAATTTTTTGCCAATCAAAACAGTAATTCGGGACAAGATGAGCAAAAGAAAGGACAACATTTCTAATAATACTTTTTAAACAAAGCATTTCGGGCATTTCAATGTATTACTAGTATAAAGTATTTGCTAATGAAAGCGCAACCAAACTGATTGCCTTGTTAAGGAAGTAATTTAACGTTTGTCATACACAACTATACGGCAAATACAAACGTAAGTACACAAACACATTCACTGCACTCCAATAAATGTGTCAAACAATAGGCCGGTGTGTAGTGATTGTATGTCCTACGTACATACAAAATACAAGATATTTTGTAAACTTTAGATAGAAGTATGGCCTGCATGTGGGTCACTGTTAAGACTCAACATGCTAAATATTCTGAATTTTATTGAAATTTCACCCGCTGGTGTATTGATATCTATATTTAAGTTTCCCTTCATAATAAAGCGTAGACATTGAGAAAATAACACTTCCGTCGCAATAATTCATTCACCGTTATATCAAAACAATTATTACATATAAACCACTTCATATACCTAGAATAGAGACAACACAAACTTCTATCTTAACCGAGAGTGAACAAACCTGCTGTAAAATCATATACTCAATCCTTAAAAAAACAGTATTCGTTGTGTATGCATATATTTCAGTGATATAGCTCAGGGTATGACACTGTCAATATCTATCTGAACTCCCTGTAGATACATCTATAATAATTCATTAATTCTCATTTCAGGAGTCGTAGGTATTGGTGTTTGTTATAATTTGGTTTTACTTCAGCAAAATTAAATTGTGTTTAGATATAAACAAGAAGATGTGGTATGAGTGCCAATGAGACAACTATCCATCCAAGTCACAATGTGTAAAAAGTAAACAATTATAGATCAAAGTACGGCCTTCAACACGGAGCCTTGGCTCACACCGAACAGCAAGCTATAAAGGGCCCCAAAAAGACTAGTGTAAAACAATTCAAACAGGAAAACCAACGGTCTAATCTATATGAAAAACGAGAAACGAGAAACACTTATGAACCACACCAACAAACGACAACCACTGAACAACAGGCTCCTGACTTAGGACAGGTGCTTAGAAATGCAGCGGGTTTAAACGTTTTAACAGGCCCCAACTTTCATCTAACATAAAACAGTGGTTTAACATTACAACATAAAAGACTATAAAGTATCAATTGAAATGGCTTTACTCGATCCCCCCCCCCCCAAAAAAAAAAAATACACAAAAACAAGTAAAACAAGTAAATAAATACTGAACGAATAAGTTTGATCTATGGCACAAAATAAATACAAAATATGTTTCAATGTCAAATAGACAAGTTTAACCAGGATAAAATGGCGTTAAATAAAGTAACGTACACAGGTAAATTTAAATATAATAATTTTGTTGTTAGGAGTACAGAAACATTTTTTACAAAATATATTTGTTATTCATAGTACGAGTACAGAAGTGAAATTTTGTTTCGTCATACTTAATACTTATCAAAGGTGGTACATATTAAAAATAGTAAGACAAGATATAACACAAAATAAGTAAACATTGAATAACAGAAATGCATTACAAATTGTGTCAACAGGTCAAATTAACAGGAAAGTACTGAAATCTAGTTGAAAGCAAAAAACAATTAATAATAAAACATCATGCACCAGAGACTAAAATCAATGAAAACACATCCAAGGCAGGGATTTAGTGTTTAAAAGCCACGGACAGTCAAAGAAGACATGACTTGTACAATGCCAAAATAAAAGTAACGACAGGCAGTGGGATAGTTAGGATTTTTCCTTATAATAAATATGTATGATGTTATGTATTGATAAAACAATATCCAAATAGAAAATAAACATGGATGTGTATATATTAATCCCCAAAAACCATTCGAAAAGAATACAAATTTAGTTATGTTTTAATTTGTTGATGACAAAATCGATGTTAGTGCCAATGAAAACAATATTCAAAGATCTTATTACAACATTAATAAGATAACCTTTACTAATAAGTTTGTTTAAAGGTTCGATACGTTTACACGGATCCGCGCTTTTAGTGCAATATTACCGTAAAATTTAGGATGTGAAATACCATTTTTAATAAGTTTTCTACAGGTACAGCCAAATTTACTAATCAAATCTTTGTATCTATGAAAGAATTTAGTAAATATTTTAAGTAATTTGTGGTAACGAAATCCCTGACTTAATAATTTACCAGTGATACATTGAGAGATGTTGTATTCCCTTTCAGATATTCTGATCGAAGAATATGTAAATATACAACTATATTATTAATCGATTTGTAATTTTCTGAGGTCAAAAACAGCATATTGCAAAGGGCATACAGCATGTTACGTTACTAAAATACATTCTAGAAATCCCTAATTTTGCATTGCTCATGCAATAGTTGTTGATTAATAATATTACAATTGTATCCTTTGGTTGAAGTCAATACGATGTTATACCGACCTAAAGAAGCATATCGACCTCGGACTTCCTCCTTAGTCAATATGCTTCTCTTAGGTCGATATATCCTCGTATCAACGACCTCAAACAAAGGCTATATTTGTATAATATAATATTTGAATTGTATGAAATATCTGTCATATGTATATATTTAGAGGAAACTAAATAGTGTAATAATGAGAATATGATATTCCACTTTAACGAACGATGATTAACTTATTAATTGAAGTCATATACTCCTTAAAATTTAACAAAAGGATGAAAATGTTTTATCTTAGTTGAATGGCTATGATTTACTGTTAAACACGTATATGTCGACTTTCTTTTATAAGAAAATCCTTTATTCTAATCAATCTTCAGAAATATACTGCTATTGAATTATTGTCTTCTCGATCTCTAATTCACCGAATCCTTTTCCAAATGTAGTGACCTTAACCGTGAAAATCTCCGTTAGAAATGCGGTAACTGCACCCAGCAAGTGCGAAGGGAAACTCGTAATGAAAGACAGGGTAAACAAACGTGAAAGGGAAAGATAGTATTAACCGAATTTGAACATTTTTAATGAACCAAATTATTTTACAACTGTTTGATTAAAAAACTGGAAACGCATGGATAATATAAATAAAGATATGAACATAGCTCTATCATATAATCTATCCTGTTTTTACGTGCTCCATGATTATGTCTTGATTATTTATCAATTATTGATAGGTAAAGTTTGACACCAAAACCGAATGTTGATTAGTTGCCATATGTTTCGATCAACAATCCCCGAAATAAATATTTTGTGTCGACTTTATGTTAATAATTGGTTATAAATGCAAAAACGCGCACAGATGACTTAGTTTAGTATATATGCATGAATTGGTCCAATGATTGCCAAAATTGTAATAATCAAAAATTCGTTTCATATGAAAAATTATTAAATTTTCAAATTAATTTCAACAAAAAATTTCAATTATTGATAGTGTTTAACGGGATAACCGAGTTAATCGTGTGTAATCTGTATTTTTCATTGTGTAACTCCTTAATGAAGGTAAACTGCATATTTTTATGGGATACGGGATACGGGATTTTCGCATATATGTGCCTGTTGTGTTTATGTTATTGAGCAAATATCGACAAATTCATTATCGTTTATATGATTAGAGAACAAAGAAAACGTTATATTATTAAGTTTGTTTATGTTTATAATAGTATTCGTAGTTGTATTTGAGCATTTGGAGTCCAGTTTATAGTCCCTAAGATGACTGACGAAAGACATATAGGTGTCTAGTAAAAAAAGATAAGGGTAAAAATCTGAAAGAAATATTGACAAAACTTTTAGCCAGTGTTGACAAAATTTGCAACTTGTTTCTTTTTTAAATCGTCCCTGATACCTTGGTCAGTGAATTTAAATACATTTTCACAGTGAAGCAAAAGCAGCTGTATCCGGAGCACCTGTTTTCACCTACACTTTTATTCTGGTATTCTTGTTGTTCATCTTAATTTTTTTTAGTCTAGTCGCGTATCATTTGTCTCTGGCTTTTTTGTAAGAGAGTTGTCTCTCCAGATTGATTACGATTTCTCAAACCCGCCTTAGTGTTTCTGTTGTTTTTTTATATGTGATTTAAAGAAGTGACAAAAGTAAAAATGTATATGTAATACTAGCTTTATTCAATCTTTTGGTGATTGTAAAAAAAAAAAGTATTTCTTACACTTTGATAAAAACCCGTGTAGACTAACATCACACATAAACAATCCAAAATATTTTCAGATACACATGGGAAATCCATTTTCAAAAGAAAGACAGAAGACGGCTAATAAAGTTGAATTATATTTGAAAGATGTATTTGAAAGGGAATGTGTCTACAAAATAGAACGAGAAGAAGTAGAATTTATCCAAACTGGAATTGAGACAATTGTTCAGAGGATTGCTGATAAAGTCCTAGACAATGATACTTTACAGGAAAGTATGAAAATTAAATTTGCAAAATATTTAAAGGGACAATTGATAAAAAGTCCAATAAATATATTTGGTGTCGGGAGTTTTTATGAAGAAACCAGAAATAATTTTCCAGACGAATTTGATTTTATTCTCACTCTCTTCTGTTGTGAAGGTACGTTTGAAGAATACAAACAGTTTCTCCTTGAAGCAAGCGTTTTTAATACAGTTGCAGACACTTTTTCACAGAAAGTAAAAGAATTATCCGAACTAAATAAAGATGCCTTACTCTATACTGCTCCTGATCCTAAATGTGCACGAAAACTGTATTTTGGTAAATATTTGCGTCAGCATGGTCCGGCGACATGGTTAAGATTTATTTACGAAAGTGAATCAAACAGGAAAAAAGAGATAGATGTAGATTATGTTGCAGCTTTACATATATCTAACAGGAATGTTTTGAATCAGGTTGTAAACGAATCATGCGTATTGACAGAATTTGCTCAAGAGACGTTGTCAGTCGGTAGTTGCTTTTGTATAGGAGCCAATTTTTCTTTAACTCAGACAGAGGTACATATTATGAGAAACATATTATCAGAGAAACATAGACAAATTTACAGAATCCTGAAATATCTCATAAATGGACATGGTGATGTTGACAAACTTGATAATTTAGGAAATTTTGATAAACCCTACTCCTCATATATGATTAAAACTTTGATGATATATCATCATTTTAATTGAAAAACGTTCGACACTGTTAATTTAGGACCTTGTATCTTGGATGTACTAGGCGACTTATGTAGATATAAAAATACATCAGAGTTCCCTAGCTTATACAAAATTGACTATAGAACAAAGATTCGATGCGACTTGTGTCTCCTGACTTCCCTTAGAACATTGGCAGACTGTTTAAGGTCAATGCAAAGACTTTCAGGAAGCAGCTATGACTATGAGAGAGACAAAATAAAAGAGTCATTATCAAAAAAATACCTTGACACATTATGCAAATAAGAGTTGACAAGGATCTTCAACTCTAAATTGAAATTGAGTCAAAAGTATATTCTACGAAAACCTCTTCGTGTGGTGCTGAGTATACAAAACATAAATGTTTTAATGAAACCATTGAATAAATATATTTTGATTTTTAATAGATGTACAATGGAGCTGATATCTTGGAACACAAAACATTATAACTTTTAATCATGATTATTTAATATGCATGAATAAAAATATGGTAAAAACTGTGCTTACATTTATCATTGGTAGCGTTTATATTGTGCTGGTGTTGTGATTGATTGATCTACTTTGTCCAATTGATCTCTATAACAGATTGTTTTAAATTCCTGTTTCTAACTATTTGATTATACTAATTATAATTGCATATTGTTATTCTAAATTGTTTCCCAAAATTAATCGCCCTGAAGATCACAAAACACATTTTATTAAAATTAAATATGTCAATAAAGGTTTTGATTTTGTAAATATTGCCGGTATTTTTAATGTTCATTCTGTTCAAGAACAATATTTTGATAATACTGAACTCCCTCTTACTTGTTATGTTTACAAAAAATCTACCCGGAAATATGTGTTTAATTACAGCGAAGTGTGTAAAGATGTTAATATCAGTGACAATACACCTACCTCATGAAATTTCAGTTAATCCGAATACATTTATGGCCCCAGTTCCCATGTTATAACAGGAGACCTTAACATCGTTCGTGACCGAGAGTTGAAATTTTTCCTCAGTAAAGGACCTAAATATCGTCCCCCGTCAATTATTAATTGGAATGAGTGTCGTAACATCATCCACGACTCACTCCGTACTTACTGCTGTAAATGGATAAAATGAGAAAAAGCTGACAAGAAATCATTAGTTTCTTTTTTTAATTCGGTAATGAACATAGTTGATATACGTATTCAACATTTTAAAGATCATTTTACTCCTAACAACAACCAAAATAGCCCAATTTCCCGTATCAAACATAAGCTTAAAGAACTTGCCAAGGAATATATTTTTGTCCCGGCTGACAAGGCTGCTAACAATATCATTATTGTTTGACGTAAATTTTACATTGATGTTCTACAAAAGGAAATCACGAATACACCCATATTCAAACTGACTCCATTTTCGGAAAATGACATCTGTAACAAACATAAACTTTTAGCTACCTCTTTACAAGCAGAACCAACTACAATGAAAGTTCCAACTATGTACTGGCTTCCGAAGCTGCACAAAACTCCTTACAAATATAGATTTATTTCGTCTTCAAACCATTGTTCTACTACTAAACTATCTATTCTACTTACTAGTACACTTGGTACAATCAAAAACTTGGTAATAAATTGTTCAAATAAGGCCTTTGAAAATAGTGGAATTGATTACTTTTGGAGTGTCAAAAATTCGTTGAAAGTACTTGATAAATTGCATGCTTGAATTGGTGATTTCGAATCTGCTCAAAGTTTTGATTTTTCTACCCTATATACCACGTTGCCTCATAATCTTATTAAGAAAAAATTCACACACTTGATTAAATGGGCATTTAAAAAGTCTGAATGCGAATATATATGTTCAAACTCTTTTACGTCATTTTTTAGTAACAACAAACAAAAGAACTATGTCAATTTGACCTGTTTTGATACTATAACTGCCTTTAAATTTTTACTAGATAACATTTTTGTATGGAGATTCCATATATCGTCAGGTTATCGGAATTCCCATGGGGACTAACTGTGCACCACTTATTGCGGACCTGTTTCTGTATTGTTATGAGTTACAATTTATGACTAAAATCAGCAAAGACCCATCGAAACAACATCTGATACAAAAATTAAATAACACTTTAAGATATTTAGATGATATATTGGCTCTCAATAATGACGACTTCAGTATGTACACTAAAGAGATTTATCCTGCCAAACTGACTTTAAATAAACCTAATACTTACAATGAACACTGCCCTTTCCTGGATCTTGATATCTTTATCTTTAACGGGGAGCTAAATACCAAAATTTATGATAAAAGAGATGATTTTTCATTTCCTATTGTTAATTATCCATTTTTAGATGGTGACGTTCCCTTGTCGCCATCTTATGGTGTTTATATATCTCAACTTGTTAGATTCGCTCGTGTATGTAACAACGTATTTGATTTCACTAAACAAAACATTTACTAAATTTTATCATCGGTACAAGGACATCATTCGTAAATATAAATCAACATGCAGACATTTTATACGTTCAGGTATTTCACATCCAATATTTTATGGTAATATTCTTTACAAAGCACAAAAATGTCGGCAATCACCTCAAAAGCTAACCAAACCTTTAAACAGACTTATTCGGAAAGGATATAGTTACGATACTGTTGTCAAGTCATTAAGGATTGCATATTTTGGTATTAATATTGATTCACTCATAGGGTCTTTACATCGGAAATAAACACATTTATTCTAAAACCAGTTGTTGGCATGATACGGGTTATGTTCTTCTCATATATGTTATGATGGTATGATACTAAACCCTTAATGGGAGGAATTGTACTTTATTTTTAATATGATGAAGACATAATCTTTCAATCAGCTTAATTGAGGTCTGGAGCTGGCATGTCAGTAACTTCTAGTAGTCCTTTGTTCATTTATGTTACATTGACATTTTGCTTAGTTTCTTTTGTTACCTATTCTGACATCGGACTCGGACTTCTTTTAAACTGAGTTTTACTGTGCGTATTGCTATGTGTTTCTTTATTCTACATTAGCTAGAGGTATAGGGGGGGGGGTTGAGATCTCACAAAACATGTTTAACCCCGCCGCATTTTTGCGCCTGTCCCAAGTCAGGAGCCTCTGGCCTTCGTTAGTCTTGTATCATTTTTAATTTTAGTTCCTTTGTATGTTTTGGAGTTTAGTGTGACGTCCATTTTCACTAGACTAGTACACATTTTTATTTAGGGGCCAGCTGAGGACCTCCACCGGGTGCGGGATTTTCTCGCTGCGTTGAAGACCCATTGGTGGCCTTCGGCTGTTGTCTGCTCTTTGGTCGGGTTGTTGTCTCTTTGACATATTCCCCATTATATTCTCAATTTTATGAATTTATAATGAGTTTAAAAAAAGAGGCTGAACATATCAAAGGGACATTTAATACTCATAAGTCGAAAGTGACAATACCAGTAGGACGAAATGAAAAACAATAGTATACCAACTATTAAATGGAAAACTTAATACATGAACCCACTTAATACCTGGGGGAGATCGCAGCTGCTCTGGAAGGCTAAGCAGATTCTTTTCTACATGTGGCATCTGTCGTGTTTCCCATGGTAAGTTCAAATTCTGTGATAACTCTCTTTCGAAGGAGTCATAATTGCAGAAAAGAGGGCGGGATTGTGGTAAAGACAGTTTTGAACATATCCTTGTAGTCTGTGACACAGATATTCAATAACGTGATGATGTAAAGAACTATAATAGATTTTCGTAACTAATGATTATTGTTTCTGTAGAAATATTTGCATTCAAGACAGTTAAATTTCGGATGCAAATATCTCGAAAGGAAAAACTACACTCCGAGATGGTATAGATTAAGGTAACAGTAGTTTACCGATGACCAAATCATAGTAACAAACAAAAACTGAGAGAATCGTCGCATGTACTCTGAAAGGAGCGAGACTGGATGCGAGGACATGATAAGCGTCTCTTTCTATGCATGCATCATCCCCATACAAATCTACACTAGATATTTTACAATCGGGAATAGGACACAATTGGTAAAATTTAGGATAAGACGAGTAGTCCAAATGACATGAATTTAAGCAACTGTAGGTCACCGTACGGCATCAGACACATAACTAATGTGGATGGGATAAACATGACTGTGATTGATGAACCCTCCCAAACCTATGACAGTTGTGTAACTGCCCAAAAAATAAGAACATAACGTAAAACAGATTAGAATTAGCTTAACGCATCAATTGACCCGTGTCCTTCCAAAAAAACTAACATAAAGCAATAAATACACAAAGTACCAATCTAAGGGTACTCGCTGTTATTGAAAGTTATTTGAAATAATGGATTCAACACATTCAGTTAAGTCTGCATCATAACGTAACTATCATATAGAAATTGAGAGTCGGTTGAAAAAAAAAAACTCTACGTCAAAAGAGATGAAGTCAGCTTCACAATGGTGAACGTTCCATTTCTATGTATCGACAATTAAATCGTTGTTTTATTTATGAAGACATATTAAATATACATGTAAACAAAACTTCAATGAGTACAAAAGCGACTACTAAATATGAACGTATGAAAATAAAGTCCAGATGATTATTTGAATTCCTGGAAATACAACTATACAAATATTTCAAAATACAGCATAATTCTAGACAAAACAAATCAAGGGTTCCTTACTACATCTTAATTGAATTGGAGGTGATCTCAAGAGAACGTTATTACTCGGTACATATTTTTATGTTACTGCCCCATGTCAGGAACCTTGTCAGTGGTTGGGTTCTTTCAAATCTTGTTTGTAACTGTTTCAGTCTATATTATTCCGAACGTCTGTAGATTCTGGACGATTTAGAACTTTACATAATATATAAAAACCTGTCTGATACCGAATACCTTGTTTTCCCCTAGAAGTTATTTGGTTATTATTGTCGTTCGGTTGCTGTTTCAATGTATATACCCACATCTCCTTTTGGGTATCTACACCGACACATAAATATACAAATAAACTAAAGAAATGCATAATCTGTTCACATCAAATCTACAATATATAAATAAACTATATCGATAACTCATATTACAAAAAGATTTGAAATTCATTTTAAATGTTTTACACCGGTACATACAAATATAAATATATATGAATTTGAAAATTCAAATCCGAAAATATACAATAATCGAGATAAACCAATCAACTACATCGACACCTGAAATACGAAATGATTCCAGATATAAACAATCAACTATGTCAACATCTAAAAATACGAAATGGTTCCAGAAATTAAAGACCTTTCAACTGTAACAGCAACTATACATATGGAATGATTACAGAAAAGACCTTTTAAATGTAACATCAACTAAATATACGGAATGATTAAAAAAAAACATCCGTTCATTTTTACCGATAAGTAAGTATACGGAACAATTACAATTAAATCTTAAACATGCAAAACCTTTCTGTTTTACAAACATATATACAAATTGTTCAATTGTGGCGTTG